TATATATATATATATATATATATATATATATATATCAATGGGACAATGGAACAAAATTTATCATTTAGTAGCTAAGTACTGCAATGGTACATAGTTGTTTCCGATCAAAAAGTAAGCTTCTTTTTTTAGAAGCCAAAAAAACAAGTGAATCACGACCACTACTGTAGGAGTATTTTATAATATTATTGTACAGTTATGTAATTGTCAAAAAAAAATTGGAAAACAAAAAAAAAAAGACATTTCATATAAATTTATTATTACTGTTAATGGTAAAGAAAAAAAATCCAATGTATCAGTAAAGTTGAATGGATTATACTAAAAAAGTTTTCATGTTTTTTTAGGCTGTTCAATGATACTCTGTGATGTACAGAAGGTTAATTCTGATTGATACAATAATAATCTGCTTGTCCCAAACATATGTATCACATTGATAACACCATCTTAGTTCTTTTTCTTTTTTCCACACCCAAATTTAGGTGTTCAACAAAATTTTTCATAAAGAGAATATATTACACAGTGTCTTTCAATGATTTATCAACAATTATTTCTCATCAATTTACATTTTTGTTAGCAAAAACAAAACAACAACAAGAAAAACCCTCCAAAATTTTCAATTTTTATTTTTTTATTCACAAATTATCGGCATAGTTGTTGTTTAATTAAGCAATAAATATAGAATTTTTTTTTTTTTTTTTTGCTGTCAACAATGAATATAATTATGATACTGATGATTCCACAGTGATAACAGTGATCATAGGTGATCGCTGATAAATAGCTGTAGTAAAATTATTATAATCATCGTTAAGCAACTTTTTATTATACGCAAAAAAGGAAAAAAATTTTTTTTTTCATCAATTTTTCCGCTTTTATTTGGAGATCAGTTTATAATTACAAACAAATATATAATTAGTGTTTGCTTAGGAAATATATATATATGCTGAAAAAAAAAAAAAGTGAAGATTTTTTTCCTTAAATTTTTATCATTTTACTTTTATTAGCACCACTGTAAGCCTAAAAAAAAACCAAGAAATTATTTTATGCTAAAAAACGATCAAAAAAAAAAAAAAATTTGTTGATAACAGCCCCCAAACAGCTTAAATCAATTGGTATTGTTTGTTGAACGAACAAACCATTCTGCTCATCAAACCGCTCTTTACTTATCCATTACTATACGACTGTTTGTCATTGGCGGCTTCCCATGTATCGGTTAGTGGAAATCTGTTTTGATGACATCAACTTTCTTCTTATTCCTTTGTCCTGTGATAGTCGGTACGCCTTGTCTTTCTTTTTTCTTTTTAGTCATATCAGTTCATTAATAGCTGTGGATTTTTAGCCTCTTTTACATCGGTCTTGACTTCTTATTTAATAAGTTAGTTGATAAAAAATAAAGCAACATAGTAATCAAAATATTACTCTGGGACTGTTTTAGGTAATCGTCTAATGACTTACAAAAACACTTGTTCTAAATCCCGATGAACAACACTCTACTGTTGTGTACACTTTTTAAAAGATTGCTAAGCTTTATAAAAGAAAAAAAAAAAACGTTTGTCGGTATTTGATACTACAAATGCTATTCCCGGTTATTTCTTCTGTCTGATCTAAAGATTCATTGAAAACAGAAAAACAAAAAAAAAAAAGATGTACCAGTGGAACGACCTACCGATAAACCGGATGAGACTAGACGTCTGATATACTCCGGTGGACTGAACTGACTTTTTTTCTTTCCATTCTCACTCAATTTAGTATGTCATTAGGTGGGTGTAAAGACCTAACATTCAAATATACACCAAAATTAATTTGTATAATTGGCAAGCCCAAAAGTTCATCTGTTGAAGCGGAGTCAATCGGTGGGCATAAGGAACAGGTTTTGCTGCTCGTCCATAATATCAGAAAAGTTTATTGTACGTCTCATAAATGCCCTAAGTTCTACTGTTAATTAACTTTCTTTAACTAGCTTGCTTATGAGGTATCTTAATCTTTTGGAACGGAACAGGTGCTTAGAGAAACTGCATTTTCGCAAGCTGGCTAAAATTTTGAAAATGACAAGTCCTTTAGCAGAGAGACCAATTAAATAAATGTTTGTTTCTTGACGCTCAAAATTTGGTAAAAAAAAAGAAGCGACATCATATTGTGCAACAACTAAAAACAACGAATAAAATCAGCTAAGGAAGGTGATGGCTACCGTATATTGAACGTTAGAAACAGGACTATAGACACTCACTGCTGCTTCCTAAAAATTCAATATTGATTCAGAAAATACTTGGAGAAATGTGTGAAAAAGAAATAACGGACCGCAAGATCTTTTCTGAACACTCACAGAGATAACATCTACAGTCTCACAGGTTGCAGATTCGAAACATTCACGAGGCAAATTTTAGCGACATATTTGCCTCTCTGGAAAGTTTACTTTGATTGTTAAGGGAAAACAAAGTATTATTTGAAGAGTGGCTGTTTGGAAGGGCATTTGCTCTACGGAGAGGACACGTTTAGTCTTTTTTTTTGTGTGTGTGTGT